AATATAGTCATGTAGTGAAATACTGTGCAGCTGTGAAAATGAATGACCTAAAGCTCCATGTTTCAATGTGGATAAAGCTTAAAAAGAAGAATGCTGAAAAAAGTAAGCTAGAGAATATACAGAGTATAATAATATTTATTTAAAAGTCTAAGAACAACAACAAATAAAAACCAAGGCTATGTGTTGTTTATGTTGTATACTATGTAATTACAGGTATAATCCATTATAAAACTATTCATGGGAACGCCATACAACAGTTTTTCTTCAGGGAAAGAATAAAAGTGATATGGTTGGAAAAGGTACACAGAAAGCTTTAACCATATTTATATTGTTTTATTTATTTTAAGAAAAGGTTGGATCTAACTATGACAAAATGTTGGGATTTGTTAAAAACTCAGTGCTAGGCATAGAAGTGTTCATTATATCATTCTTTATACTTTCATGTATGCTTGAAATCTTTTATTTAAAATATTTAAATTGTAAGGTATTTCATTTTTTTTAAGATTTTATTTATTTATTTGAGAGAGAGAGAGAATGAGAGATACAGAGCACGAGAAGGAAGAGGGTCAGAGGGAGAAGCAGACTCCCCGCTGAGTGGGGAGCCCGACGCGGGACTCGATCCCGGGACTCCAGGGTCATGACCTGAGCCGAAGGCAGTCGCTTAACCAACTGAGCCACCCAGGAGCCCATAAATTGTAAGGTATTTCAAAATCAAGAAAAAGAAAGCGTATCAAAAGGTTCTGTTTTTTCAAAATTACCCAAATGCCCACGACTAGGGAACTAGTTAAGCAAATGTTAGTACAAAATGAATTGCTATGCAAATATGTAAAATAATGCTTTATATTTATCCAATACAGAATGATGACTCAATATTTGGTTGAATGAAAAAGTTTATAAAATATTATGTACAGTATAATTTCACATGTACATAATATCCATATATATCAGAAATGTTAAAAAGTTTTAAATGATTGTCTATGTTTATATCTAGATAGGTGTCTGCTATTTTTTCTATTTCTTAATCATCATGTGTATTTTTATAAATATGATAAAACTACTGAAATAGTGCTTCAGAATTCCTCTGTTATAGAACTATAAATTAAAATGGAAAAGAAATATCAATTTAATTTAAATTTTCATTTATTTTTTTCAGCATATAAAATTGAGTGCCAGCAAAGCTACAATTAAATTTTACCCTAAATCACTGATGCCAGCCATGTGAATCAGTATCACATTTTTTGAAAAGTAATTTGGCAATATGTAACAATAGCACTCCCATAACAGGGAGTTATCCTGAGGAAATAATCAAAGACACACACAAGAATGTACAAGCAAGGATGTTTTTGTTATAGCATTACATAGAGCGTTAAAGAACTGGAAACAACCTAGATGGTCAAAGACAGGGGATGACTCAATAGGTAACAGTACATAGAATACCAAGTCACACACATATTTTATGTAACAGTACATAAATACTAAGTAGCCAATAAAAAACATGTGTTTGAGGAACACCTAATAAGATGAAATATGCCCACACATAAAAAAAGGATATAAGATATACTTCAAATTTTGTCTTATATATATTTTAAAGACTAGGAAGAAACACATCAAAATTTAACAGTGGTTGTTAACTGAGTCGTTAATCAGTGATTTTTACTTTTAAATCTATTTCTGTATTTTCTAAATTTTAACAAACATAAATTTAATGACCTGAAAAAACCCCGCTTTTAATTTAATTTTATTTTTTTAAGATTTTATTTATTTATTTGAGAGAGAGCGTGCGCGCGCGAGAGAGCACAAGTGGAGGGGCGGGGCAGAGGGCGAGGGGAGAAGCGGACTCCGTGCTGAGCAGGGATTGTGGATGAGGGGCTCCATCCCAGCACCTGAGCCAAGGCAGACGTTTAACCAACTGAGCCACCCAGGCACCCCAAAACTCTGCTTTTTAACAAAGAAAATAACCTACATCTCTGGGCCTTTCTCATCTCAGCACTTCATCTCACTGTCCAGTCTAGTTGGCACTAGCCCGTGGAGCACATAGAGATCCCTGGGTACAACCCATGGCAGATAATTACAAACCACCATTACAAACTGTCCCCTTGGCCAGACTCTCTTTTCATAAATGTCAGCAGGCTTAGAAGTCTGTACAGGTCAATAAACAAAAAGGCTAGTGGAGGATCAATATTTTATTCCTCAATCTTGCCCAAGTATGTAAATATTCCTTATTATCCATTGCCCCAGGTTTATTAGCCATCGCATCATCCTGAACTGGTTTGTGACGTGAACAGATAGCATTCGTCGCCCCAGGGGAAGGGTTAAACTACAAGAAAAGAGGGGTGGATTAAACAAGGAGGAAAAACTATCAACATGTCATAAAATATACATGCTATTTCTAATTTATTCCTGTTCATTTGAGCAACACATCTAATGTGTTACTAACATTTCTAGTAATACAGTGTTTTTGTCCCTGTAATAATGTGTTGGTATCTATAACTCTCATTTGGACTTAGTGAATTACTGTTTTATTTAATAAAAAAAAGATAAATTGTATTTGATTTGTATTTATTAATTTCTATGAATTTGGTATATGACATTTATGAAAGCTTAGGCACATAATTTCTCCTTTCTTTAATTTACAGCCGGGGAACTGTTTAAATATAATTTTAAATGATGCATAAAATGCTTCCTGACGTATTTGTTTTCTGAATTTCCAACATGCATATTTGCCATTTCTGTATGATGAACAAACACTGCCTTAAATTGTGGAGAAAGAAAAATGTTACCTGTTTAGGATTCTTTTATTAAATCTTAGCTCTTGTATTTTGGTGGCAGCAGGCTGAGTTTCCTGGAGGTTGATAAGTTTAGTTGCAATTGCGATCTGGCTCATGCTAACTCAATTTGATAGGTAAGGCTTTGCAGGTGTAGCAATCATCAATTTGGTGCGAAACCTCAGAACAAAGTCTAAAAATAGATGTCACTTTGATAGTATTTGGGGGGAATAGAAGAAGTTAAATAACAGATGAAGTATGTTTCTTAAAGAAAGTCATTATTCCCAGATTATTTCCTAGGCATAAAATAGCTTTTCTAACAAAATAGGTATTTTTCTTCATATTTAATTTCTTCAGAATGATTCTATTTTTCTTATTCTGTATTTTGGTCACATTAATTTGTAACTCCTTTGAAAGCTATACATACAGCTATTGTTCAGATAATGTTAACATTATGAAATTTCAATTTTGAATTTTTCAAATAAATGCAAGCTTCACATGGTAGTGCTCTTCCTTCAGAATAAGAGTCAACTATTTATTTTGCTTTATTTTTAATCAAAAAATATTTGGAAAAAAACAAAAGATCACTCTTTCCGGAACCATCAGCGAATAAAAAAATTATGGAGAGGCTCACAGTACTGCTCTTCTACTGACTTCTGTCATTAAAACAGATGTTCTCTATAACCTTGACCAAACAACTCCATCCTCTAATCAGAAGAGAGCAGACTTATTTGTGGATTTATGATAGATGTCTTTGCCAGAGCTTGGAAGCCTGTCTAGGACTGTGGACTCTTACAGACTTGTTTTTGTGCTGAAATTTGGCTTATAATTCTTATTTTAATTTGTTTTATATACTTTCATCCAAACATGGTTTTCTTTTAAAAAAAATCTTCTTATTAATTGGGTATTTCAAATGTATTCATCACAATTATGAGTAGCTATAGCGTTAAGTATATGATGGACTTGCTGATGTCAGCAGCTAAAAACTAATGCTGCTGATATCAGCTGACAGGACACTAATTACTAGTTATGAGGCTGTTGCCTGCTTAAGGAGCTATTCAGTGAGTTATGATTTAGAAAAGCTGGGAGAGCACAGGGCTGATTTGTGAAGAGATATCTAATATGAAAATACCACAGAAGTTCTCAAATTGATCCTCATGACAGAGATCTGTCTAATTAGGAAGTGTCTATTTTAATACTAAACCACAAAAAAGCCCAGCTGGAAAAGAAGAATTTATAGGAAGACACAGAGCCATCACTAGTTTGGTTGACAGCAAATGCAACCTAAGCATGTTTCTCAGTGTTTAATCAATAGTGGCTATAGGACAATTACTCCCTAACAGACAATCTCTCTCATCATATCAAGAGGGAGGGTCTTCATAGGTGATCTGTATGGAGAGCCCCTATTCAACAACACTTGTCTTACCTTCAGAGTTGAGGCCTGTCTAGAAGCTAGACGCTAACTAAATTATCCCTGAGAAGTTTGCAGAACCGGCAATGTTCTGTCCTTGAGTGATTAAGGGAGTCACTCTGTTCTGAGATCCAGGAGAGGCATGACAATGGAGACAGGGGGGACATTTCGTTCAACTGAAGAATCAGCTTGGTGAATTCTGCTGTTAGACCCTAAACTTTTTGAGGACAAGAACATGCTCTGAAGTTTATATTCTATGTACGTACATACCAGTAAAGACCGGTAGACTGACCCTGAAGAGATATTTGGGGGGGAAAAAATTACAGTTTTCCTGGGAGGCTACAAAAACAGAAATCTGGCCACTTCCTCGCCAAACATGAGAGGACACCAAACCTTCACTGAGCTAGCTGCCTTTCTCTGGGGAGTTCTTAAGGTTATGTCCACACGGTAGCTCCGAAATATTTTTTGTGGGAAAGAAACAAGGTCTGTAGGTGTGGGCCCTGGTCTTGACCCCCCTGCTGCTCTCCTTCTTTTCTTGCCTCTGTGTCTGTCTTCAGTTGGTATGCAGAGTTTTACAGCCCAGCCTGCTGAGCAGGCTGTTAATGAGTCATGCCTGCTCCCTGGCTTAACTTTGGCCCAGTCTCAATCTCCATGAAAAGAGACAGAACAGAGAAGAAAAAGGTGTTTTGAAAACACTTGCTTAAGTTGATACATGTTTTATTGTTACTGATCTATCCCCAGAATAGGTAATAGATGACAAATCATCAGCGGCTATTCCAGAAATATCAACAAATTGATTTCACACGTTTTTGAGTCTTTTTTCCAGAATGTGAAGCCCTGGACTGAGCCACAGGGTTGGATGGAAACAGGATGGCCATCAGGCCAAAAAGAATGGTGAGTATTCAGTGTCCAGCTTGCCCTGCTGTGCAGCTACGTGACTGTGAACACTGCAGATTTCTCATCTATGAAAGAGCTCCCTATTTCCCATTGCTGTGGAGAGGAGTAAATAAGGTCATACCTATCACAATCCTAGCACGATGCTGGCCACGATGAGTGTTCTGTAACCATTATTGCCTTTGCCCTTTGTCTTATATTTTGGGTTTCCACCACAGCAGACTCTGAAACACAGATTCCAGGACCTGGAGGCTCTAGAGGAGATGGGGATTGGGAAGCAGCCAATAAGGTTGTGTCATTAAGCTAGACACAAGTGTGTGACTGAAACTTTTTTTTTTTAAAGATTTTATTTATTCATTTGAGACACAGAGATACAGAGAGAGAGAGAGCATGAACAGGGGGAGAGGCAGAGGGAGAGGGAGAAGCAGGCTTCCCGCTGAGCCAGGAGCCCGATGCGGGGCTCAATCCCTGGACCCTGGGATCATGACCTGAGCTGAAGGCAGATGCTTAATGACTGAGCCACCCAGGCGCCCGTGTGATTGAAACTTAATCCTGCCGGAAAATGGGGGGGCGGGTATAGGACCTCAGCATTATCCCCCCCAAGGGAGGCGAGCGCTTGGGGTATTTATACACCTATTCCCAAGACTCATTGGTGGAAGACTACCAGGAGGGGTGTAGATTAATTACCAGGTGATTCCAGCCTGCTGTGTGCCTTCTGCTGTTCTGGGTGCAGGGGAAGCCCTCAGCACAGAGATGCAGTTCTGATGGCTGGAAGTCACCTGAAGAACACTGAAATTTCCTAAGGGAGTGGGCAGGGCAATGACTTTCCAGTGTGTTAGGAATACCAAGACATCTAAAACATGGTAGTTTCCATCAAGAAGCCACCAATCTAATAAGGTAGATAGAACAGTTGAAGCTTCAAAGGAAAGGGTTTGTGATGCCAAGATGTCTGCAGTTTCCAGGAGAAATCAGCACCCGGATCTGCCCAGGGTGGTACTCACTACATTGGGGCCTCTGGCTCTTAGCCTTGCATCTGATCTGTCAGCATCCACAGGGTGAATTCAGAGGAACTGTCAGATTCATGTGAACCAAACCCCACAGAGTCTGAGCAAAAAACTAGAATGCCCATGGTTCCTTTGCATTCTCCCTTTGTAGGATGAGCTGTGTGAGAGGCCAAATTATAGTCTTAAAGTTAATTTAAAAATGGAGATTCAGAAGAATGGATGCTATTAAGAATTGCTCCCTCATTGAGATAGCATGAGGACGTCTTCTTCACTGAAGGGATGGCCTGGCCAGTAGGGTCAGAGGGAAATATAGTTTGGCCCAAGGTCCTCATCTGGCTCTGCCAAGAGTGGACACTAACTCTCCTATTTGTGGCTTCCAGAAAGCCAGCATATACAGTGGTTAAGGGTGAAGACTCTGGAGTAAGGACCTGGTTCAAATCTTGTCCTATCATTGTATTAGCTGTGTGAACTTGGCAGCTACTTAATCTCTGTGTGTCTCAGGTTTCCCATCCACAGTAGTGTCTATTTTGTAGAATTATGATGATAAAATGTAATTCATATAATGCAATACGTATAAAGAGTCCAGAATAGTATTTGGCACAAAGGTAAGTGTTCATTTTCATTATGGCTGCTATTAAGAGCCCCCTAAACATTGATACAGTCCTTCTTTAGGTATGGTAATACCTCTCAGCAAGTTTTCTTTTGTTCTTGGAACTAGTTTATCTCACTGAAGTGTCCTTGCTTCTTGTTGTCCTAAAAGGTCTGTCATTTGTGTGTTTGGGGAGGGGAACTGTCTCATTTCTCCTTCCATTTTCTGGACTATACATATAAATACAAAAACAATTTAGTTGCAAAACAACTCAGCCAGCTCAGGAGCCTGTCACAAAGTCAAGGAGTTCAGAGGCCAGAGGGCTCCCTCCGGTATGGAAACAGGAGCACTGCAACTGCATTTGACTCTACAAGCCACCACTCTAGGATTTTATGTTAGGAACAGTTGCACAATCAAGAACATCTTTAAGTTCTGTTTGGCCCTGGAATGCACTCTGGGATTCTGCCAAACATATCTCTCTTACAGCTTGAGAGCAAAGCAACAAATCAAAGCCACTGTCAGATTTAGCCCTGATAAATGAAGTATGTTCGCTGATGGAACCAAAGATCCCAAACCATCCAGGAGCACTATAGGGCTCCCTACAAAGTGAATGAAATGTATCAGTACAGAATGGACACATTGAAAGAACTGTTAGAAAACCAATCAGCTGCAAGTATATTGGGTTCATATATCAGTACAGAACGGACGCATTGAAAGAACTGTTAGAAAACCTATCAGCTGCAAGTATGTTGGAAAGGATGCCAGACTTAAAGACCCTGCACAGTCCAAGAGAATAACAGGATTCCTTGGAAACTGAATGGACAGTATCTCTACAGAATGTGGCTATTGAGGGAACTGTGAGGAAGCAGATCAGCAGCAAGTGTGATAGAAATGTTATTGAACTTGGAGGGAAGTTTTATTTCAAATAGGTCACTAATGGTCTGTGAGGCTCTGGGAAGGTCATTTAGCCTTTCTGGACTTTCTCTATCAAATGAAAAGTTGGATAGTTGTTCTGTAAGAACACTCCAAGTCTAACACTATTCTGTGACTCTAAATACTGAAAGAGATGGAAGAGTGGAAGAGCTGTTTTGGTTGGAAAACAAAAGTGTCAGTGTTCCTTAAAGCTTTCCCCCTATCAATCCACAGTCCCTGGCAAGAAATCTAAGTATACTAAAATGAAGCCAATTAACATTCCTTACTACTGCTCTGTCATAAATCATCGTTAACTCAGAGAAGGCAGATGGGTGAGTAGCTACACGACACATTCTTATAGATGGGTTTGTTCATATTCTACAAATTTAATTTCATAAAACCAGAACCCCATTCTGTTCTTCAGACACACAGTCTACTGTGGACTCCCCAGGCATACACAGATAGAAAAGGTGATGGGAGATCAATTAGATGAGGACCAGGCACCGCCCGTCGGACCTGAGTAGTGTGGAGTCACTGGTGACTTGATAAGAGCAGTTTTGGTGAAGTGGTGGTGGGAGAAGGTGGGTTTAAGGGAGAAACTGCACACAGTGAAAATAGCCAAGTCTTAAGTTTTGCTGTCAAGGAAAGAGATAAATGGGATACAGTAGAGTCGTGAGAGGTTTTTTTTTTTTCTTCAAATGGGAAAATAACAACATGCTTGTACACTAATGAGAATTATTCAGTAGAGAGGGGACAGTTGATGTTGCTCAAGGAAGAACAGGACACTTGCTGGGTTAATGTCCTTGGGTAGGTCAGACAGGATAGGACCTAACGGTAGACTATATGGGCACAGGCAGGTAGTGGTTGGATGTGGTATTGGGAAAATCACTTCTGTTTTCTCAGTGACATAGGAAATAGCACCATCAGCTGAGGGCAAAGATGGGGGAGGAGATGTTGGAGGTTTCCAGAGATAGAAGACATGAACTGGCTGCCTAGGAACATAAAGTGATGGAATCAGGATGAGTACCAGGCAATATCAAGGACCACTTGAGGTTAATGACAATGAATTTAAAGTGAAATCGGTCAGCATGTTTGGGTGTTAGTCTGGCCATGCTGTGAGAGTATAAGCAACCAATAGACTTGAAATTTCACTAGGGTTTTGGTTTAGCCAAGCCAGTACAAGGGAGAGAGGGGCAAGGGAGTCAAGTCTATATGCAAAGGGGTGGTTATAACGACAGGCTACTGAATTTTAACTGAATGGGGATGGGAGAGAGCACATCAAGGGGGTGGAAAAGTAGAAGGTGATAAAAGCATTGGATTAAGGTCCTGGTGATATAGAAAGATTGTGTTGGGGTACCAGAGGGAAAAAGCTCAAAAGATAATAAGGGGGTGGGTAAGAAAGGTGGGATGTCTGAAATTAACTTTGGGTGTGTTGCAATTATTTGTAATGAGAATGTTGAAGGTATGACTGTAGAAGTGAATAGCCGAGCTCGAAGGGAGGACAAAGCCATTGGAGAAAGGAGATGAAGGAACCAAAAAGCCAGGATCCTGGAAAGAATATTGGTTGTTGGCCTCACATGAATAATAACTGGACTTATTTTAAAAGACACTAATAGTGAATTGGCTGCTAAAATCTTCAAGGAGTGAGGGGTGGTAGAGAGCTGAAACTAGGTGGTGGTGACGAGTGAGGTTCAAAGCTGAGGCTTTTTTTTTCCTTGAGAGGGCACAGGCTCAAAGCAACAAAGTGGAGCATGGAGAACACCTGTTTCACCTCTGGCTCCATAGCGTGAGGAGTAAATAACTACCCGACCACCTGAGAGGGCTACAGGGGAAGACATGGCCTCAGGGAGAGCCAGGTGTCAGCCAGAGGAGGATCAAGGAACATTATTCAAAAAGGTGGAAAGTATAGGGCAGGTGTCAGCAAACTATAACCCATGGGCCCCCTGTTTTGGTAGCAGCCCTCCAGGGAGGCGTGGAGGGAGCAGGTGAGCAAGCAAGTCCCTCTCTTGCCCCCTGCTGCGGATCACCTGCGGAGTGGAAAGCTTGCTCTGAGTACCCACTTCTTTTGACCCGTGCCAATAAGTCTCCAGGCCAATGGAGGGCACTGATCATCTTGGTTAGAACACATCATTACAGAACGTAGCCTTAGCCTTGCATTCATGCCTCTCCTTAGATTGGGCATTGCTTATCAGATTCTCCAATACAAATTTACTCATTCCAATTTAATATTGCTGCTTCATTAAACTGGAGGACTTTCCTCCTGACCTTCAGTAACATTAGCTTGATTCTGCTTTATGACAAATGGTACTGAACGCCATCCATGTGCAATAACTTTAAGAATTAAGTTAAAATATTAAAGGCAGATGACTTGCTAACATTTCATTTTGTTTTAAGAATACTCTTGCTGCACATCCAAAGACCTAGTGATTCAACTTGGACTCTTGCACCTGTGGTCAGACCTGAGAAGAAATTGTGACACACATAAATTTGCTTTCTTTCTTTTTTTATTGGCAAAGGCATAAAATAAAAGTCCTCAAAACAACAGCAAATTGGAATTGAAGCCATATCTCTGCAAACATTACCCAACCTGGGCCACATCTTGCTCAAAGAATCTAGACTTGAGGATTGCCACACTGACCAGGAAGCACTTTTCCCGGATGTCAGAACTCCCTTCGGGGACTAGCTCGCTGTTTTTGCCTCCTCGTGAATCCTTTCTGGGACAATGAGCACTTTCAAAGCTGCCTCTACATCACACCTAAAAGAAGCACAGAACAGGGCTGGTTTGTTGGCGTGCATTACCCAACATTACATGTGTATTTGAATAATTTCATTTAAGCTGCCTAGAAGATTTTAGTGGATAATAACCAGTTATTTTTCATTCATTCATTTATTAAACACTTACTAAGCAATTACTTTTTATTTTTCAGAATGCTGCTTAGCACAGAGGAAACCAAACCAAATAAGACACGGTCCCTGTTCTCATCTTCAAAAAGGGGTGAGGGCAAGGTGAAAATGGGTTCTGGAAATCTAGAGGCTTGCTGATGATTTTAGACAAGGTTCTAGAAAGGATTATGAAGCAGATGTTTTGTGAGTGCTCAGACAAGAGAGCAGTCAGAATGCACCCACTAGGGATACATTGAGCCTAACCTAATTTTCTCTTTTGATAAGATTAATGTGTCCGGGAAATTATGTAAGTCAGATTTTGAGAGCCTTTCGTGTTTTCCTTGTGGACTTATAGGAAGATGAGTATTAAACCAGTGGGTGGATTTAATTATTTCTATTTTTTAAAATTTATTCATTCCACAAATGTTTATGGTGCCAAATAAATAATGTGTAAGGTATTTTGTTAGGTGGTGGGGATCTGTGGGTGATCCTTGCCTTCATGGAACTTACCATCTATGGCAGGAATAAGGCAATTACCATGCAAAAGACACACACTGAATGGATGATCTATGGGAGAATCACCAAGGATATTGATTAATGGATTAGTGTAAGTCCCAAAGGAAGCTTCTAATGGTTTGGGTGGCAGACTTGGCTCTGGATTTGCCTAAAGTTTTAGTAGTAAGTTGGATGATGTATAGAAAATGTTAAAATATTTGGGAGGAATATTAATTTGTGCCCCCATGTTAAAGGACATGCAAAATTATTCTCAAGTAGATTAAAAGTGCTCAATAATTCAAAATTATATGAAAGTCTTGTAGAAAATAAAATAAAATCTTTGTAGATCTACAGAGGAGTGATAATGTTCTTAGCTACAAGGAAACATAAACGATCTATTTTTTTAAAAGACTTTATTTATTTGAGAGGGAGATAGCAAGAGAGAGTACAAGCGGGGGAGGGGCAGAGGGAGAGGGAGAAGCAGACTCCCTGCTGAGTAAGGACCTGGACGTGGGGCTCAATCCTAGGACCCTGGGATCATGACCCAAGCCTAAGGCAGACACTGAACTGACTGAGCCACCCAGGTGCCCCCCAGGAAACATAAACAATCTAAACAGAAAGACTGACAAATGACAGGTTTGAATAATCAAACGTTAAAAATACCCACACAATGCAAAATAACATCACTAACATTAAAAGGGAAAAAAATCAGGCTGTGAAAAAGATTTGCACCAAATATGACAGAATGCTATCTATAATAACTAAAAAGCTGGATTTAAATTTCTAAAAAAAAACACGAATAGAAACAATAACTCCTCAAAGAAGAAATACACAATATATTTAAAAGACACATTCACAGGAAGGAAGTTCATACTTTGCAGAGCAGTGGGGGTCTTGGAGAATCTCTGAGTATCACCATTCAACAGTAGGCTCTCAGCAGAGAATCCCTGCCCACAGAGGAGATGTTCACCTCCCCAGGGTGCGTTCCCTGACGTCCTTTGCGCCCCCATAGTATCCTCTGTGTATTTCTCTCACTGTGATGATTACTTTGAATTCTAATTTTATGCTTATGTATAGCCAGATCTCCCTATCCTAGATTGGAAGTCTCTTGAGTGGAAGGTTCATAGCACGCATCCTTGGATTCTAGCACCTTGAACCAGTACTTGCTAGTTACGAAATAAGTGGCATGCACATTCTTGATGGAGGGACAGTGAGTGGGTGGTGGGAGGCCATGGGGTGATTGAACACAGCAAAATGAAGAGTAACAGTATGACCGGGCTGTGGGTCTAACAGTAGCCCCTGGATCTCTTGTGTTCAGGAAAACACTGCCTCTCCCCAGATATCTCCTCACCGTGACGAGTTAAGAGATGGCACAAGAACTTTGCCCCCTCCGGACAAGGCCGTCACTCTTCCCTCCATCCCCTCCAAACACTGGCAGCCTCAGTGCCATTATTTGCCTTAAGACCGTCCAGACCAAACCCAGCATGGCCTTTATTCCTGTTCATGTCAGTCGTCATGGGAAGCTCAGGCCATTCATCCCAGGAGTTTTATCTGCATGAGCACTGGTGCTGCCACTGTGTCCTCCCAACTCCTGAGTCCATTAAAGAGGTTCTTGTGCTTTATGGCCTCTGATCAGATTCAACCAATGGAGGCTGTGGCCAGGTGGAAGGAGGAGACTGAAACTGGGGTCTGTATTCCCCTGATGTCCTCCCTGTTGGTTTGCTATGGATTGCCCTCACCCCTCTTCTCAAAGCACAGCTCCTCTCCATCAAGCTACTCCCGCGGGCTTTGTATAACCACCCTCTCCTCTTGACCCTTTAGATGGTAACAGAACCTATTTCTTGCCCTTTCCTGGGCACTATGTCATCCCTTGTTGGTTTCCTTAACTCCTGCCCACATTTGCAAATAATCCCTTTATTAAGCTCTTCTCAGATACCCAGTTTGAAGGAGCCATCTGTTTCCTGCCAAGGTTGTGACGGATACACTACTGAATGATTATTTGTTAGATGAATGAATGACTGAATCTCTGTAAGAAAACGGAGATCACCAGGAAGCACTCTTTGCAGCAAACATGATGGCTGCGAGGGTGGTGGGAATTTTTCCCATTTCAGTAACTTAACACTGGAAGCACAGAAGGGAGGAGCAGCTACCTACCAAATAAGGCAGAGGACATATGGACAGTCATAGAGGGGGAGGAGGGCATGAAGACCCATGTGCTGAGGCGTGGAGCCAGCCATGAAGCCACCATCTATGGGAGCCACAAGAGAGGAGATGCCACTGGTAGGACACATCAGGAATCTCAAGGAAAGGAGAGTGATGTGGTTTCACAACCCTAAAGGTGGAGGCTGGGCCAGAGAAATAAGGCCTTCCCTTTCCCTTCTTCCTACTGTCCCACCCACTGCTTCCTTGTGGCCTCAATGAACTTGTGTGGCAGTAGTTATCAAACAAATGAAAATGAGAACAGCCTGGATAAAATTACAGCTACAAAATCAGCAGTTATATAACCAGTGAAACTAATATACCTGTGGACTTCAGGAACATTATAAATCAATGCAACTCTTTCAGAAAGCTCTGTGGCAATACGTATTGCATTTTAAGTAAAACTTTGTAACTTGTGACTCTGTAATCTCATTCCTAAATGTTCATCCTCAAGAATGTTTGTGAAGACAAATTTGCAGTACTGCATTATCCCTAGGTTGAACAATGTAGAGTATATACTATTCAGTAAACAGAATACAATGTAAAAAAGTCTATATACAATAGGCAGAGATATAAAACTAAATGTGCATATAGGCAAAATTCAGAGGGAAGAGGCAGAAATGAAAAGAGTATCAATAGAAGAGAATTAAGGGCACCTGGGTGGCTCAGTTGTTAAGCGTCTGCCTTCGGCTCAGGTCATGATCCCAGGGTCCTGGGATCGAGCCCCACATCGGGCTCCCTCCTCGGGGGGCGGGGAGACTGCTTCTCTCTCTCCCACTGCCCCTGCTTGTGTTCCTGCTCTCACTATCTGCTATCTCTCTCTCTGTCAAATAAATAAATAAAATCTTTTAAAAAAACAGAAGAGAATTAAAAATTATTTTTCCTAAAATGAAGGGGGGAATCAGAGGGGGAGACGAACCATGAAAGACTATGGACCCTGAGAAACAAACTTAGGGTTTTATAGGGGAGCAGGGTGGGGGATGGGTTAGCCTGGTGATGGGTATTAAAGAGGGCACATATTGAATGGAGCACTGGGTGTTATACGCAAACAATGAATCATGGAACACTACATCAAAAACTAATGATGTAAAGTACGGTAACTAACATAACAATAAAATAAAATTTTAAAAAAATTAAAAAAAATAAAAGTTTAAAAAATTTTTTTCCTAAAATGCTTTAATGTTGCTATAACATTTTTAAAATCTAAGATATATATATATATACTTCTAATTTTAAGTGCACACCACCAGGAAGGGTCGTATCACTTTCTTTCCTATAATCCTGCAATGGTTTCTTAGTGCAATAAAAATACCATACAAAGTTCTTTCCATAATCTTTAGGGTCATACATGCCAGGCCTCTGATACCTCTTGGATCTTGTCTGTTGTCTCTTTTCCCCTGTCTACTATGTTCCAGTCATCCAGAGACTTTATATCCCTTGCAAACTCCAAGTTAACCCCTTTTTAGTCGTTACTCCTGCTGTTTTTTTGGTCTATAATGTATTTTCTTCAGATTTTTTAAAGATTAATTTATTCATTATTTGAGAGAGAGAGAGCTTGGAGGAGGGGGATCAGAATCTCCAGCACAGAGCCTGATCTCACGACCCTGAGATCATGACCTGAGCCAAAATCAAGAGTTGGATGCTTAACCCACCGAGACACCCAGGTGCCCCTTTTTCTTCAGATCTTCATGTGGCTGCCTCTGCTGATTATTTAGATATTGCTTCAAATGTAACCTTTTGAAGGAAGCTGTAGAGACATTGTCTATTATCTACCCAACAACTGAACATTCCCGGCTCCCACCCTGGAAACTCCCCAGGGTCAGATATTCTCTTTCCCTACCTATGGAAACTAAGACATGGGCACATGACTCGAATGCAGCTCATCTGGTCTTCACCCCGGGTTTCAAATCTCAGGAGAGTGGTGATGCCTAGGGGCAGGGACAGTTGGAGCTTTCATGGCCGCTCTGGCACCATGGAGAGGAGAGGAGAATGCTGGTAGTATCTAAGGTTGGGGCGTTCGTCAGTGATGGTTGGCCAGTGGTGGTGTTCTTACCAGTGGCAGGGCTGGCTGACATTGGGCTAGTGTGCAGACTACTACGTGATTCTATCTTCGTTGTGTTTTACCTCCTGTTGGTCCGGCTGAAGCTGAGTTGGGCAGCCCATGTATCAGTGCTATTGGCTACCTGAAATTCTTCCCCCAAATGTATTTTCTGCTTCAGTTAAGCAGAGTTGTCTTTTATTTTTTGCAACCAAGTACCCATAACAAAGAATTTCCCTGAAAACCTAAGCTAAGGCAGCCACTCCCCTACCCTGGTTATTCTCTGCCTAGAGTATTCAGTTCTTTATAGCATGTACTGCTATCTGAAATAATTAAATTGTGTATCTGTTTTTATCTGTTACTTGTGTATTCCCCCCACTCTCAAAATGTCAACTCCATGAAAACAAGAACTGTGTTTGTAACCCCTATATCAACGTGAAGAATTGGTACTGACAAATACTCATTTCATAGTGAGATAGACAGTAGAACGGATGGTAGACGCAAGATTCAAAAAGAGCCAAGGACCAAAATCAAAATGAAAAAATTTAACAGAGTAAATGTGAGAGCTGACTTTAAGTTGATCAATCAATTGTATAAGTACAAGATCTGGGAGAGCTTACTTTTTACAAATTTGAACGTTAAAAATGAAAACCCTATGGGTTGTGATAGATGGCAAGCTCAGTAAAACTTGACTTCTAAAGTGGATCAAAGCATTCTTAGTCTACACTAATAGAAACACAGGAGGGATTGATGTTTCCGGCCAAGATGAATTAACAAAAACCAGATTTATCTTCCCACCTCAAATAACCAAAAGCACTGAACAGAATACATGAAACAACTTTTTTTTTTCAGACATTGGACAACAAGCAGCACAGGAAAGTGATCACTGAGAAAGAGGCGACCTCTCCAGTTGCCGGGTGTACTGCCTGGAGAAAGTTTTCAGGCCACAATACAGGGAGGGGGAACCCAGACAAAGGCTGGCAATCTCCCTAAATTGAGAAGATAGAGTTGGGAGTTCAAGGAGGTCAAGGTAACTTAAACTCATTGGTCAGTGGATCAGAGAGAAGAGAGTTCACAGAGAGAGAGTCCCAGAAGTCAACAGAGTGTACCCCTTGAGTCGTCAACTAAATGCTGATTGGCTCATGTGTGTGAGAAAATAACCTGAGACTAGAAGGACCTCTCAAAGAGAGCAGAGGTAGGAATTTGTGGAGATCATACAGGCTGGGAATAGTTCATGTTCCCAACAGCTAGAGTGGGAAAACCTCAGTACATGAGGCATGAGATAGAATACTCACAGGGTATTGGGGGCAAAACTAACTTGAGACGAGAGAAATTGAATTGGCAGTTTAAAGCCTTCTCACAAAAAAAAAAAAAAAGACCCCTCCAAGCCTAGGTAATTTCATCGGCGAATCTACCCAATATATAAGGAATAATTAATATTAAACACAATTTTCTCCAGAAAATGGGGTTCTCAACTCAGTTTTTGACTCCAGTATCACCTTAATATCAAAACAAATACATTACAATAAAGGAAAACCACAGACAAATACCCCACATGGAAACAGACTTTAAAATTCTCAATAAAATTTTAGCAAATTGAATCCAATAATACATAGAAAGGATAATACATCATAGTCAAGTGGAGTTTATCCTAGGAATACAAAGTTGCTTTAACATACAGAAATTAATGTAATTCACTGTATTGACAGACTTAGGAAGAAAGAAAGAGAAAGAAAAGAAAGAAGAGAGAGAGAGAGAGAAAGAAAGAGAGAAAGAAAGAGAAAGAACAATATAATCACCTCAATAGATGCATAAAAAGCATTTGACGAAATTCATTTCTAAAAAAAATTCTCAGCAAAATTCTCAACCTGATAAAAGGCATTTACAAAGAACCTACAGGTAAAATCATACTTTATGGTAAAAAATGGAATGCTTTCCCCCTAGGATCAGGAATAAGACAACAACGTCTGCTCTCACCCCTTCTACTCAGGATTGTGTTGGAGGTATTAGTGAAATAGGCAGATTGGGCAGGAAGAAGTAAAACTGTCTTTGTTTGCCTACAACATAATCACCTATGTAGAAAATCCTTAGAAATAATTAAAAACCATATGCTTTTACTCATATGTAGAATTTAAGAAACAAAACAGATGAACATAGGGGAAGGGAAAGAAGAATAAAACAGGATAAAAACAGAGAGGGAGGCAAACCATAAGAAACTCTTCTATGAAGAACAAAACTGAGGGTTGCTGGTGGGGAGGTAGGTGGGGTGTGGGGTAATTGGGTGATGGGCATTAAGGAGGGTACTTGTGATGAGCACGGAGTGTTATATGCAAGTGATAAATCACTAAATTCTACCCCTGAAACTAATAATACACTATTATGTTAACTAAGTTGAATTTAAATAAATTTTTTTAAAAAATAAATAATTTTAAAAATTACTAGAACTAATGAGTGAGTTTGGCAAGTTTTAAGATACAACATTGATAAAAAATCAGTTGCATTTTCATAGGTACTAGCAACAAACAATTCGAAGTTTAAAAAATGGTACCATTTACAAGAGTGTAAAAATAAACACACTTTGGAATAAATTTGGCAATAGATGTGCAAGACCTGTACTCTTAAAAATATACAATATTGCTGAAAGAAATTAAAGACTTAATGAAAGGAGAGATATATTATGTGCATGGATTGAAAGAGTCAACATTATTAAGACATAAGTTATCCCCAAGTAGTCTAAACTTAATGCAATCTAAGTTAAATCCCAGCAAGCTTTCATAAAACTAGAAATTGGCAACCTGGTTCTGAAACTTATACAAAAATGCAAAGGACCTACAATAACCAAAACAACTTTGAAAAATAAGGATTTAGGCTATATCATTTTAAGTCTCATTGTAAAGATAGCATATAAAATAGTGTGGTTAAAATATTAAAAAACATATAGATCAATAGAACAGAACGTAGTCCAGAAATAAACCCACAATGGGCATTTAATTTTTGACAAATGTGCAAGGCAATTCAGTAGAGAAAGGCAACCTTTTCAATAAATGGTGACAGAACAATTGGATAACCATACACGAAGGAAAAAATTGAAATGAGAAAGGAAGGAAGGAAAGAGAAAGAAAGAAGAAAGAAAAGGAAAGGAAAAAGAAAAAAAAAGGAAGGAAGGAAGGACTAAAGAAAGAAAAATGGGGGGGGGAGGAAGGAATTGGAACATTTCCTCACACCATATCTAAAAATTAACTTGAAATGGATGATGGACATAGCCATAAGACCTAAACCTGTAGAACCTCCAGACCAAATAGGAGAAAATCTTAGTAACCTTGGATTTGTGAAATATTTATTAAATAGGACACAAAATGTACAAAGTATAAAAGATAAAACAAACAAGTTAGGCTTTATTGAAATTCAAAACTTGTTCTTCAAAGTCACTATTACGAAAATTAAAGAGCAAGCCACAGACTTGGAGAAAACGTTTGCAAGGCATATATCCAAGAAAGGACTTGTATTTGGAATATATAAAAGACCCTTATAATGCAATAATAAGAAGAAAAGCAACCCAATAAAAAGAGGGCAAAGATTTGAATGGATATTTCTCAAAAGAGATTTTC